TTATCAAGATGGAATTGGAGTTAAAAAAGACGATTATAAAGCATTCATTTATTATCAAAAATCTGCCAAAATGGGTAGTGCTCAAGGAACATATAATGTTGGCGATTGCTATCGAAATGGCATTGGGGTTGGAAAGGAAGAACATAAGGCATTCATTTATTATCAAAAATCTGCTGAAATGGATGACACTAGTGGAATATTTGAACTCGGAAATTGTTATGAAAATGGAATTGGTGTCGAAAAGGATGAACATAAGGCATTCATTTATTATCAAAAATCTGCCGAGAAGGGTGATTTTGCTGGAATATCTCAAGTTGCTAATTGTTATCAGAATGGAATTGGAATAGCACAGAATTTACAAGAAGCAAATCATTGGTATCGAAGGTAAGTAAATAATATTTTCATTCGAAATATATCTTTTATTTTATTGGCGACATTTATTTAAAACATTTTTTAATACTACTAAATTAGAGAAAGGGATCTATTATTTGGTAATTTATATAGTTTATTTATTTGTGCTGTATAATTTAAAACCTAACTGCCTGTATTTTTTAGCAATAAATAAATGGACGCATGAAAATTTTGATATCTACAGTAATTTAAAAAAGTATTACTTGAAAGTAAAAATTTATTATCATGGATTCCCTATGATAAATTCAGCGATATTAAAAAAATAGGACAAGGTGGATTTGCAACAGTATATCATGCTATTTGGTACAATAAAAATCGAGAAGTTAACCAACCTGTTGCACTTAAATTACTGCGTCGATCAAAAAGATATGATGAAAAAGAATACCAAGAGTTTATAAAAGAGGTAACTTAATTTTGTGATAATTGAATTATATATGTTCTTAAAATGCTTATTAATGATATCTTAAAGCTGAAGGCATATTGTGATATTGGCTATGATAATCCGTCGTTTTTAGAATGCTATGGGATATCAAAATGTGAAAAAGAATATATACTTGTTATGAGATATGCAAAAATGGGATCCTTACGTAAAAATCTTAATTCAATAGAGCAGATGCAATGGAAAGATAAATTAGCACTTTTACTTTGCATCATTTCTGATCTTAAAGCGATTCACTCAAAAAATATCATTCATCGGGATTTACATAGTGGTAATATTTTGCAAGAGACTTTACACAGTGCATATATTGCAGATTTAGGGCTGGCAATGTCAGCAAACATCGAATTAAAGACAGAGCCTGATAAAATTTATGGGATAATACCATATATAGACCCCGATGTTTTGAATGGAAATCCATATACTACTGCATCTGATATTTACTCTTTTGGCATAATCATGTGGGAAATTTATATGGAGTGTCTGTATCATATATTTGTGAAATTAACGATGATCATCTTCGAAAGCAAATATGTCACAATAATTTACGACCACCTATTAGCGAAAATGCTCCACGTTGTTACAGAAAATTAATGAAGGAATGTTGGGATAAAGATTCAAAAGATCGGCCAACTGCAAAAGAAATTAACAAAAAAATCACCGAGTGGCAAAAAGATGAAAACACTTTATTAGAATTAACCACTTCAAAAACAACACATGAAAATATAAAATATTCATATACGTATAAATCTAGAGGAAGCAAAGTTATTATTACTAATAATGGTAATGTTACCTTTATTTATTTTTTTCATATTTTATATTTAACCTTTTTTAATTTAGGCGTGAATACCACCGGATTTCATGGATTACCATCAATATCTGATAATGATTTTAAAACAGCACAGAATTTTACCAATGGTGTGGACTATAAGACCAAATTTGATCCGAAAATTTAATATTGTTTGTTGTTATTAAGTAGAATCGAAGATGAACATAAATAAGGCATTATTCATTCATTTATTTTCATCTTCTGAAATAGAATACTATATTAAATTAATAATTAAAATGAGCTTGATGGAAGTATAATTCCATTGTTTTTAATTTTAAATCAATTCATTCATTAATTTACTGACAAAAAATTTTCAAGCACATTAAAATTCGCTTTAAAAAAGATTGTTTATTTGTTAAAAGTCTTAGTTCTTTATATAATATACTAGTTCGAAGATGGCGCAAAGCGCCACCCAACTTATTTGTTTTTAATTTAGTTATTATTGTGTTGATTATATTATTGAGGTAATTTTGGGATATTATATACTTATTGGTTATTTGATTTTTTTTTCAAATTGTGCTAGTAATAACGATTGTAGCAAAATAATTTGTATTATTAGAAAATTAACTTCTCATATGTAATAAATGACTTTTTGGTTAGGGTGGTTTATGATTTTTTTCAAGTTTATTAAATGTAGGTAGATCGGTTTGCTTGTGTTGATTATGGTTTAGATGTGTTATTGGGTTTAGATCGTTAGTTTAAAATATTTTGTGTATAATTTGGGAATAATTCGAGAAGAAAAGTACATTGCATTGGGGTGTGCTGTCAACTATGTAAATCAAAACTATGTATAGATGTATACCAAATTTTATATGTGAATTTTTTTTTAAAATTTAGTGATCAAGAATTATTATTTATCACTTTATGTATGTATTTTAATAGTAAAGAATGAGGACATGTTTTTAGATGTTTAACGCGAATCGCTTTACTTTTTCAATTATTTTAGCATAAGCCTATTCTTAAACACGTTTAAAACAAAGTTACGTTAAAAATTTTTATGATCTAATATTTAATTTTTTACTTGTAACGAAAATATCTTTCTTTGAATAATTCATAATATAAAGCAGAGTTTTTGTAAAGAGTCAACTTGAAATTTAATATTGATGTTAAAAAAACTCAACGTAACTTTGCTATATACTTGTTTAAGAATAGAACTTTGTTAAAATAATTAAAAAAAGTAAAGCGATTCACTCTAGACATCTAAAAACATGTTTACTATTAAAATATATATATATAAAAGTGATATGCAATCCCAATCACTATTCTAATTTTTTTTAAAAATTCACATATACATATATACATAGTTTTGATTTACATAGTTGACAGCACACCCCAACGTTGCATGTATACTTATATATAGTATGCATATGTGTGTAATATGTTGGGATGATGTATATAGGGATGGGAAATGTTTTAAAACGGAATGTTTTAAAACATGTTTGTTTGATTTAAAACTGTTTTTAAATGATTTAATACATTCTGACGTAATCTTAATATGTAACAATGGGATAGTATTTATTTATTTAACCAATTTGTCAAAATACAACTTTATCGTTATCTCTTCTCTTTTTATAATATAAAATTATAAACAATCATGCTCCGTAGAAGGCCTCCATTAAAAGAAATTCGATTGAACTTTACAAAATTTATAGAAACTGCGCCTCGGCAAAAGTGTAACTACTGTAGAGAGGACTTTGTGGATTTAGTCGCTTCGCTTTATTAAAGGATCACTTATATAGATGCAAAAAGCTTCCAGAAAGTATGAAAATTTTATTAAATAATGAACGGGTAAAAAAAACTTGTTGCAGTCTATCAGAATTTAAGAATTTAAGAATTTAAAAAGGAACTGAGATTGATGGTTGGTTCGAAGAGGACGATAATTAAATTTATAGTTATGCATATTAAAAGAAGCGTACAAAAAAAAAAAAGAAAAAGAAAAAGAAATTATATAAATATTTAAGCAATTGCGCATTTCTTGTAATTATATAATAAGCAAAGTTTATAAAGTGAATATTTTTCTTTAAAAGTCATCTTTATGAAATTTGGTGAATCAAAATTTAAATTTTAGTCTCAGCGCCAAAGTTTTAAAAAGTTTTTTAAAAAGGTTTAAACCATCTAAAAAACTGTTTAAAACTTTTTTTTTCATCCCTAGATGTATACAATATTGGCGTTATCCGGCAATTTATGATCATGATTGGTAGGGAGTCGCTCGCTGAGTTTTAATTTTGAATACTGGAATAAACATAATTACATAGTAACACATAAAAAAAAATAACAAAAAGAAATTTTGACATGATCATATGAGTTTGCCGGATAAATAAATATATTCCATGTCTCCTAATGTCAAAGGCAGACATTCGTATGGTTGGCTGTTTAAATCAATTTAATTTTACATTATTTATACAGTTTAAAGTACTAGAGTTCCTGTCCATTATCCGTTTATCCATTTATCTATTGGATATCCGGATCCGAATTTATTCGGATATCCATTTTACTATTGATATCCGGATAATTATCCAAATATTTGTCGGATTATCCGGATACCAATAGTAAATGGATAACCGGATAAATTCAGATATGGATAAATGGATGACAGATTTATCCGGATTGGACTTTTATAAAGTATTTTTTAAAAAATTTTATTAGGGTTGTAGGACTCCACTATTAAAAATAATCAAAATTCTTTTTGTTTAGAGAAGTTAGCATAATAGCGACTTCTTAAAATTAGGTTATCACCACGCTAACTTCTCTAAAAACAAACAAGAGCTTTGATTATTTTTAATAATGATCTATCGACTTATCGTTTGAAAAATTTTCATAATTGATTACATTTACGTGTAATACATCATAAGTGCGTTTTAAAACTTAAATATTACTGAGTTTTATGAAGCATCAGGAGTAGCTTTATTTGATAAATCCTATTCTTTTGACTTAGTATTATTCACTATATAGAAGTAATAAGTTCGTCAATTATTGCAACTATATAAATTTCCATTTTTGAATTTAGCTACAGTATTATTAACTTTAAATTCCAAAACAATACGACATAAAGAATAATTAAAATACAAATATTAAAGTTGAATATTCATATTTATAAACTACTTAATTATATATATATATGCTGTATGTGGGAATGGTTTGGAATCCACTCAGATTAGAATAGAATAATTATACTAAAAAATCCCAACTCCAACCCTAAAAATTCAGAATCAACTTTAATTCTATTCTCACTTACGACATATAAACCATTAAGATAATAAAAAAAAAAAAACAAATATATGGGTTTTTTTAAACAATACTGTGCTATTTCTTTTTACTATGTTTTCACGCATTAATAGGTAAATTTGCTACAAACCCGGGGAGATTTAATAACGTAGGAAGGGATTTAACGGATTTCTGAGAATTATAATCACTAGCATTAAGGCTATAGAATGTGTTGAGCAAATGGCCTTTACCATCATTCCTACTTTCATTAACAAAGATATCTCCTTGAAAACGAACGTTATTCATATTACTAAGAACACCTATCATAGCAACTGGATCTCGCTTATTTGCATAGTGTTCAATACGTCTAACAAGGCCGTTGGGGTTTATGAATTCCCTGGATGCATTAGCGAATGTGTATACCTCAAGTTTCTTAAGTAAATGTGCCTCATCAGTTAAACTCAATTCCATATATAATTTCCTCATGATTAAATTTGCCATGGCTCCTCCTTCCGAATGTGCGATCAGACGAACAGTTTCAATTTTTTTATTCTTAAGTTCAGGGAGAATATTTTCTGCAGCAAGGCGTATTGCCGAGACATCAATATCAAAACTTCTTACAAAGATTGTCTCCACTAAGTCCCAGAAAACACCATAAGTAGTATTATGAATGCCCGTAACTCCCCTGTTAAACCGTTTTTCCAAATACTTGCAGTTTTCATCTAACCATCTGTAATCCACCACAATGCCGTTTATGAAAAACCATTTTTCATTATCGTGATCATCGTCTCTTAATGACGGTGGACGAACTTTCCAGGCGCTTGAATCATTAGATGCAAAAAGAGGATAGACTAAAGCTATCGGAAGCGTAAGAATAAATAAAATAAGTTGATATAATATACAGATCCAGTTTCTCGGATAAGCTAAATTCACTTCGCTTTTTGGTACGTCATCCCTTTCGTTGGAAAAGCAAACCGCAAAAATGCTGTTACGGAGAACGAACTCTACTATAACATCATACGAGTGAATAAATATCCAACAAAAGTCATCAAATAAAAGTTTCCAAGGATTCTCAAAAGTGCTAGTCCTGGAATTCATATTGACAATTTTGGTGGAAAATTTTTTTTTCTTACAACTTGATAAATAAGCGGACAAAACTTATAAATAATAGAACATGTTTTAATTGGGGTTGCATTTAAGTCTTTCAAAATAATTTTGTGTTGTTATCGCCATTGAGATTCGTATTACATATACGAATTTATATAGTATGATATTGCTATTTCTATACTTGTATACATAATTGACTGTGTAAAAGTATTATTTGAAGTGGTTCACAAAATTATCAAAATTTCCTTATATGTTAAACTATACATTTTGTCTATATTTCTTTCTTATACTAGTAAAACGGCACCGTTTCGTAGGGCTGGAGCCTTATTTATTACACGCTTAAACTTTATAATATACATATAAT